CAGGTGTACTCGTTTGTGCCGATTCCTGGCGCCCAGCAGACCAAGCGACCTCGCAGACGATGGGAGGACATTGAGCGCATGTACATGTGCAACCATCCGCTCCCGGGCGGCGGCAACTGCCAAAAGGCCTACGGCACATTGAATCATCTCAACGCCCATGTTCAGATGCAACATCACGGACCTAAGAGAACCCCTGAAGGTATGTCCAAGCTGGACCCCTCTGGCCGGCCGGCCGCCCCCTTCGCTTCCATTCATGCGCATCGGATTCTAACCAGTCGTCGTGCAGAGTTCAAAGAGATCCGGAAGGAGTGGAAGGCACGCAAGAAGGAGGAAGAGAACAAGCGCAAGCAAGCGGAAGAGCAGCAGCGACAAGCCCAGGCCGCGGCCCAGCCCCGTCCCGACGCTGAGCCCACTCAAGTTCCAGCTCCGTATCCTCGAAGCCAACTGCCACTCCCGCCGATGGGCTACGGGCAGCCCCAACCGTATGCCACACCCACATCGATGGCCGAATATCCCGGCAACAGTGCCTACGCACCCTACCCGTACACCCAGGCCCCCCAGGGCGGTCAGGGTGGCGCGGCCAGCCATCCTATGTACCAGTCGCGTAAGTGATATTTGGACCCTAGTATCACCTTATCTGTTGTTCACATGGCTAACTTGTCATAGCCAACGGCGGGCAACAAAACTAGTATTTTCACGAAGTGAATCGGCATCATGCGGCAGTCCTTGAAACGATGTTACGAGGTGCAACAGAAGACCCGATGAACGACGACCAAACGAAATTCTCAGGAAGGGGGGAGGGTCTTCATGGGGGGGGGTTCATGAAAACGGGACCTGGCGGCGACGGTGGCGGCAGGGTCTTTTTCTTCAGTCATGATGGCTTTCGCATACAACGGCATAGCAAGGGGCGGGGACGAAATTTGTGGCTTTTGCATTTGGTGGTTGGTTGGGGTTGGTTGGTTGGGGCAAGCATGATGGATTGATTCCCAAGGCTCATGGCCACACGGACAGTGTTTTTTTTGTCCGTGTGGTTGAGGGGCAGCGTGTGCTTTTTTCTCTCTCTTTTCTTTTTGGTGGTTTATACTCTGCATGCGGCCGGATCCCAGTTCCATCCCACCCTGCCTGATACCCGGCCTCGCGGGGCAGGTGGTGGTTCTGGACCGGCGCGTTTCTTGTCTTTGGGGGGCGGGGACGGGGGGGCATGAGCAGCATTGTGGACTTTTATTTTGGTGGCGGTAGCGGCGTGGGCGGGTGGGAGCATACTCGAAGTTGTATAAGAAGTACAGTACATCGAGCACACACTTGTGGTAGTAATAATGATGGAGCGAGTCGGCTTTGACGACGTTCAAATTCGGTGTGGTCAGGCGCAGTTTTGTGGTGAACTTGGGTTTTGGGTCCGGGGATGAAAGGAGTTGGATATCTGATCTGAGATGGCCACATGGAGGTGAAGTGAAGTGAGTACCTACCCATCGGATGGGACTCCCAAGAGTAGCCATTCCTAACCGTCCGTTGTGGGCGGGATGAAACAACACAGGTATCTTCAGTTCCAGGCTATGAGTTGCCGGGCTAGATGGCCCCCACCCCTCGCTTCGAGACGAAGGAGATACTCTCATGTACCTCGCGTGTTTGGCACGTTTTAACGTTGAATGTTCCTCTCCAGCGTGATCTTTTCTCTTTCCACGTTGACCAGATTGGTACAGTTCCCTGGTTGGGGAGGTGGATACGGTTATCATGATCGTTCAGAACACGAGACGCAGCGAGATAGCATACTGATATATGCTCCCGAACTATCCGGACTAGTCCCGGCATAGTCCATGCAGCTCGACGGTAGAGGTACTGGATTGTCCAGAGGCAGAGCAGGACACTACGGTGAAAGTACAGGGTAGATTGGCGTCAACCCACCAAGTTTCCCCCCTTTTGAACCGTACTGGACTGTTGCGACAAAGTCGAGTGGCGTATATCTCGAGCCTTTGCCATCACGCTTCTCCTTGATATGTCGAATATACCAATATATGCAGTGGCGGGAAATATGTTGCCTCCGCCCCTATATTCTCTGTGCGTTAGGTAGTATTTGGGTAGTCAGGGGTACCTTCATCAATCACATCATGTGCGGTGGGTGGGTGGGTGTGTGTGGCTGACTGTCTCGCTTCCATGCTGACACTCGCTCTCTCCCTTGCTGTTGGTTCCTTGGACAAGATGGTGTGGTTACACAAGACTAGAGTACTTCGTGCAGGACCCGCCGGTAGGCTCGAGGTAGGTTGTCCAGGGAATAATCATGGAAGGAAAAAATGGGGGGAGGGGGTAATTGCCGGACTTTTCCCGCCGCACGGTGCTGGTGAGTCCAGTACGGGGGGGGGCGTGTATGAGTATGGTAGGTTATCATCGTCCTGTGGATGGGTGGACGATATTCCTCCGAGGTGTCGCGAGCGGAGGGATTGGAGTCGCACGACCGGCGGTTGTGGACTGGACTGGGTTTGTGCATGGGGGTGTCTCTGGAGGAGAGTTGAATACAAAGTAGACGGGGGTTTGTTGACTTGGAGTGTATGGGATGGCCACCCTTCTTGTTGGTGTTTTGGGCGGGGAGGGATGAGTCTGTTGGGTTTGCGTGGGTGTGATATCTTGTCGCCCTTTTGGCAATTTTGGTGCCATTCATCCGACATATACCCTCTTGGGCGACAGTGTGGCTGGACTCGGCCAGCGCAATACACAACCATGGAATCTCGGATTCGATGACGTTGTACCGCTGCAGTGCGATGTGATGGGTGGCAGCACCAGAGGGCAGACGGACGGGTGCTCGCGACGGCCCCTCGAGGACACGGGAAACCAGGTCGTCTGGAATACGAGCCTAGGCTCTGGGACACTACCTTGCGGTCCGCTGCACGGCATGAGCACCACCACGACGAGGTCCCGATATTGGGGTGGTGTCTGCCGAGACCTGGCCAAGGCAGGTCGTCGTGGACACTGGTCCAGATTTGTTGGTATTTTTTTCGGCCGAGAGCGAAAGCAGCATCTTGGTCGACAATGTCGATGGCACTCTTTGAAGCATGCTCCATCCTTGCGGCGGTATTGTCGGGGGGAGGGTAGAATTCGCCATGGCGTCAGGTACCTCGAGGTACTCAATGGTGCCCGCGTCCCGCCCGCCATATATACAAGGCGAGTGCTCCGAAAATTGGATGGAGGATGGACGCATCAACCGACATGAAGCTAAGGCGGACACGCAGACGGCCCACGAGGGCGCGACGGGAAGGATGGCACGGATGGGTTGGTCGCAGTCAGTGATCGCCTGTGCCGCAGGGTTGTGGCAGCGCCAAGTCGGCAGGCGGTTGGCGAGGACGGGAGGTCGAGTCGAGTGGACGTGGGTTCCGTGCGGTGCGCAGGACAGAGGGTCGAGACTCGAGACTCGGAGCAGTGATGAACTCAAGTACAAGACGGCATGTTGAGGCAATCGCGAACGGCTGTCTCGGATGTGATGTAGAGTTGTGATCTCGCGATGGGCGACCGACGGGCTGACGTTGGGATACGGGCCGAGAAGGCCGAGTTCGGACAGACGCGGCGCGGGCCGAGGGCGATGCCATAGGATCTACCCTGCCGGACGTGGCACGCGCCCAGCAAGCAATTGACTGGAGCAAAGGCCAGCGATCCCGGCAATTCCTTCGGGGCTGGGCCGGGGGCTTGCCTGGGCCGGGAGGGAGGGGACATGGAAGCTTCCTTTGTCACTCTGCGATGGTCGCGTCGCACAAGGCTAACGCAGACGAGCCAAGGGCCGCAAGATGGTGCTGTGGTTTCTTCCCAGGTGCCAAGGTTGAAGGGGGGTGTCCAAGGTGTTTGTCTCAATCAGGGATGTCGAATTTGATGCGGGATTCTCCGTCACCACCCTGGACCTGGTCGAAGGTCTGGAAGAAAGACTAGCGCCGCGGGCTCCGGAGCTCCGGGTACTCGACCCCGGCCATCTTTATCTCGACGTCGACCCGTTTGTTCCGGTTCAACCGAATGCCGATCGGCGAGTCATTCCATCAAGATATCAACCCCACCGGGCTGTTTTTGCCGACAAGTCCATTCCAAGGTTGCACGTTAAAGGCAAGATGGCACCTTTACCTTTGTCACAGTGCTCCTGCGCACTCAACCAACGACTCGGATTCCCACAGCCGCCGTATATGCGCTTGGCCATGCAGCATCAGGAACAAGGAATTCGGACACCTGTGCCTGGGATATTGTCTCCACCCTGAGACAGCATCGAGGTCGGTCGAACAGCTCGTCTCAAGCCCGTGTCTCGGGAACGGTCGTCGAGTCTCGGGAGCTATCTTGTCATTCTCGACATCCATCCACCACCACGTCAGCCGAATTTAACAACTGGATGAATTCGTCACGAACTCACATTGTCAGTACCTAGAATATATGTGGCTGTTGCAGACCATATGCATGTGCCCGTCCCTGTAGGTTCTACCGCTTTTCTGTATGGGAGTCGTCAACCGCTTCGGGGGTTAGGTTATGCAAAAGAGGATGGGGCATTAGAATGGATACCGACACACTCATGGCCGGAAGGACCCAGCACACAGCCCACACCATAGACACAGGAAAGAGCCATTGCGATCCCTACCGGGGGGGGGGGGGGTCGAGAGCAAACCCAGTGTGAGCCAGTGGTCATCACATCAGGATTTCAACCCAAAAAAGAACACCACAACATTACCGAGAATGGCAAATTGCCCGCCCAGTGGGCAGCATACTACGTACCACTCTAATTCCTAGGTTCGTGTGTTCAGGGGGGGTCATTCCCACGGCTTGAAGACCTTGCAGTTGCGACCCCCACCTCACGCAGCTCCTGGCGGTAGCGGCTTTGACAATACAGAATGCGGCGAACCGGCGATCCTGATGCAGGCGGATATGGTGGGCGAAGGGACTGTGTTGCTCTCTGTTGGACTGCTGCACTCGCCACATATCTCTTCCATGGAAGAAGGCGCGAGGGGCAAAAAGAAGAGGGTGGACCTGGCAAAAATTCAAATTGACAACTGTGAGATTCGAACTCACGCCCTTTCGGACCACGGAACTATTTATCAAGATCAGATAGATCAAGATAGATGTGATTAAGGATATCTCCTTAACGTGGCGCCTTAGACCGCTCGGCCAAGTTGCCTGATTGCTGGTTGTGGAGTATGTGTATGGAAAAGAGGTACATCTTGCGTAATCCGGGCGAGTCATGGATGCTTTCTTTTCGCAAGTGGATGCTTCCGTGTCATGGATGCCCGGCCCCGAGAGAACCTTGCCGGTTCAAATGGGTGGAGTTGGACGTAAAACACCACAAGGAAAAATGTGTAGGAGTGTGTGAGAGTGTGTGAGCACGCCTTGAGATGACATGCGATTGAGCAATGTCGAGGCAGCAAACGTCAGCTGGGTTGGTTTGTTCGAGTGTAAATGTCCTGAGGTGCGTGGGTTTGAGTTCCCTTGGGTGGCAGGGAGTTCGTGGCAAGGAGTTCGGGCGGGACGGAGTCCCACTTCCCAGACCCGGAGGGTCAAGGGAGGCGACGGATGTATTTTCTTCTTGGAGGCTGTTAAGAGGGCTAGTCGAGAGGACATTTTTCACAGCAGAAAAAATGGGTGCCCTTAACAGCGGGGACTGAAGGGTACCTTGAAGCTTGCATATGGGCAAAGGGTCGGGTAGGAAGGAGCTATTCTCTATTCTGGCCGTTGGGGAATTGGAAGGCGGGATTGTCGGCTTCTCCCGCATTTACATTCCAGCAGCATATGAAGACTGCGGTGGTGGAGATTTTCGCGAACCTTTGAGATCCGGTGGTAGTGGTATTCGGTACGGTCCATATAGTGCCTAGGAGAAAAGTTGGGAAATCAAAAGAAGCAAGCCCTTGCCCCTGACTCAAAACGGTAAGATGTAGACGAAGAGGTTGCGGGAGCAACACGGCGGTACACCAACCCGGCCGGCATCGCGTGCCGCCCTTATCTTATCGCCCCGCACCATGCCGTCCTGGTGACGCAGCCGGAACCCCCCCCCTCCTTCATCCCTTTGTAAAACCACCACCAACTCTAGGACCACGGTATCCCAAACCCCACAGCCACTCTCGAAAGCAGCACCCCCCACCGTCCAGAAAAGAATTCCGGAGAATAGAGAAAGAGGAGAAAGAAACCATGTCCCGCAAACCCCCCGGCCTCGCCTCTCTCACCCGCCACCGCCTCACCGCCGCCCAGTTCTCTTCGCACGGCTCCGCCCTCCGTTCAACCAACGCGCAAGCCCTCGAAACCCAGCTCGCCGTCTTCCGCTCCCTCCTTCAGCAGTTCGCGCAAACGCACGCCAAGGACATCCGCTCCAACCCGAGCTTCCGCGCGCAGTTTGCGCGCATGTGCGCGGCGATCGGCGTGGACCCCTTGCTCGCGTCGTCGTCGGGCAAGGACGGCGGGGGCGGGTCGATCTGGTCGCAGCTGCTAGGCGGGACGGTCAACGACTTCTACTTTGAGCTGGCGGTGCGGGTGGTGGAGGTGTGCGGGCGGACGCGGGGGGAGAACGGGGGGCTGATTGAGGTGCGCAAGGTGAGGGAGGGGCTGGTGGCTGCTGCTGCTAGGAAGGGGGGAGTCGGGGGGGAGGTTACGGAGTAGGTTCTTCTGGTGTTGCGGTGATCTTGGTGTTGTGCGTGCTGCTGCTGACGGGGTGGGACAGGGACGACATCCTCCGCGCCGTGGCCACGCTCAAGCCACTCGGGTCGGCCTACTCGGTCATTCGCGTCGGGAGCAAGCCGTACATCCGCTCGGTGCCCAAGGAGCTCAACACGGACCAGAGCGCCGTACTCGAGGCGGTGCAGGTGCTGGGCTACGTCAGTGTGTCGATGCTCATGGTCAATCTGCGGTGGGCGCGGGCGAGAGCGCAGACGGCCGTCGAAGACCTGCTGGGCGAGGGGATGCTGTGGGTTGACCGACAGAGCGAAGAGGCGGAATTCTGGAGCCCGGGGTTCATGCTGGAGAGCGACGAAGGGGGGACGGGGTGAGGGGGTGGAGTCGGCAGCAGAAGCACATCGTCTTGGAGGGAATTACGCCATGTTTGGAGATACCGTTTAACATCCCGAACTGGTCGGAGACACCGGTTTCACGGAACGTCTTCCGAAGCAGCTTCACGAAGCAGCGCGGAGCGGGCCCGGGCCGAGTCGGATTCGAGTTCGGAGCCCCGGAAGAGACCGCGAGGAACCGTGGTCACCCAGGAACCATGGTCGCCCAACCCAGGCAGACCGAAGGAGCGCCCAAATATGAAAATACGGCCTTAGTACTGGGAGAGCTGCGACCCAACTCATTTTCAGAGCTGGAGCCACACATGGCAATATCACGGAGCAGTTCACACACATACGGTCCTGGCCAGCCCTCCACCCATCCGTCTGGTAGCAAAAAACAATTATCTAACCGCCAACGAAACAAGAGATTATACATGACAGAATCGCACAAGATCCCGTCTCGATACCTCCCACACTTTGTCACCTCCCACGCAGCCAGCTATTTGTACCCCTTTCCCGATGGAGCCGGCCTCCCCCTCGGATTCACATATTCAGATGTCGTGTGTGTGTCAGGGTTGGATTGATCATCAGCGTCGTATCCCCCTCAGTCGATCGGTAGCCGCCTAGTATGGGGGGTTGGGCCCGAGAGGCGGGTAGTCTTCGGGGCGGCCCATGGTGCTGCCGCCGGTCGGGCGTCCGCCATCGCCAAAGTGCTTCTTGCGGAGGGCCGCAAGGCGCTTCTTCTTGGTGATGGTATTGATGTAAGTGCCGATGACAAACGACACGAGGTTGAAGAAGGGCAGCCAGGTGCTCTCGGGCAGGAACTTTTGCGCAAAGGCGAGGCAGAGCGGCGACGTGATCCAGCTGACGCGCATGACCTTCCAGAAGCCGACGCGGACAGTGGCGCGCACCTGGTGGAACGTCCGGGCCCCGGCGATGAGCGCCATGGCGACGAGGTACACCGAGTTTTGGATAGGCGCAATCTGAACGAGGGTTAGTTGGGTCGGCTGAAGGGGAGGGCACGAGGCGTACAATCAGGTTGCTGACGAGAATCTGCAGAATCTTGGCGCGCAGGCTGGTGCGGTTCTTGAACGTCTTTTGCAGGGCCCAGATGAGGAAGTGGCCCAGCGGGGCGCTGACGAGGGCGCCGTAAGTCGCCATCTTGGGCACGCGCGATGTAAAGTAGTTGCCATGCTTGTTGCGGTCCTTGGCCAGCCACGAGGCGATCAGCTCCTGCGCACCGGCGAGGGTGCCGGCCGTGAGCATCTTGGTCCGGAGCGGGTTTTCCTCCAGCTGCTTGATGTAGGCCTGGTCCAAATTAGCCCTGGTCACGTCCGGAGAGGGGGAGCACATACCGCCAGGTAGCCCTTGGTCCCGGCATTTTGTCGGCCGCCCGTGAGGGCGGTGCCGACGACGGCGGAAATGGGATGGTCCCCCTTGGTGCCGGGCAGGTTCCCGGAGGCGGCCTCATGGATGGCGAAGGCAGTCGCAGCGACCTTGCTATCGCGATGCTTCTCGACAGACTTTTGGGCGCCCTGGGTCACGGCCGTCTGGAACGTGTCCCGCTCGATCTTTAGCGACGACATGGTGGGCGACGGCGGCGATCAAATCGACATTTAGGGGCGGTGCAATCTGTACGTCTCGGTCAGCGACTGCCGGGAATCGGGTTGGTTGACGACCGTCGCAGGCGCGGATTCGGTCGGTGGATGGCGAAGTCGATGGCGATGGGGATGCGATGCGATGCGATGGGGATGCGATGGGGTCGCTTGTTTACAGCTGTCGTCGGCGGGTCTCGACGACGGGACGTCGGATGCGCAGGCGAGGTCGGTCGGTCTCAGTCTCGGCGGCAAAACGCGTCGACGGTATCGCGCATCGGGCTTCAATTCACACGAGCAGGGCCAGAGAGCAACTCACCAGCAGAGCGACGGAGATGGGGATAGCACGAAATGCGAGTCAGGCAGCGATACGTCGACGAGGGGATCGGTTCGGCTGCGGTGGGCTTCGTTCGGGGGGGGTGAGGATGGCAGATGGCGAGGAGGTTGGTTTTTGATGGGGGTGAGAGACAGCTCGACCAATGCAGCGCCCTCATCTTGCGTCGCGACTGGCGACGGGCGATGGCGACTGGGGGGACTGGGGGGGCCGGCGAAGCTGAGGCCACCCCCGGTGGAGACCCGAAAATGGGACCTGGCGTGGCGACGACGTGTGATTGGTCGCTTCGCCGGCTGGCCGAGGCTTTTGTTTTCCCTCGCCTCCTGAGCTTCAGCTTCGGTACGACGGGGATTCTGTGCCAGTGTGCCCGTGCTGCCCGGAGACGGATGCGACAACACACCAGCTCTCTTCTCAAATCCACAACCAACCCCTGTTTGTCGTCGGCGTCTTTCCGACTGCACCTCACAACCACTCGTCCACCCACGATGTCGATTGATGCCATTGGTCTGAAAATATGCTCTTGTCTGCTGGGTAACCTCTGACGATGCCATTCATTGAGGCAGCAGATCGACGTCTGCAAATACTTATCCGTCTGTCTTTGCTGGCTCCAGGCTGGGTTGCATTCTTTGCCAAGCCAAGCCCCCCCTCTCCCGCTGCCTCGGTTGAGCCTCACCATGTAAACACCAAAAAAGTCGACGGCGATGGCGATTGCGATGAGCCAGGTATGAGCCAAACGTCACCTTTTATACCTAATACGTCATTCGAATTGTCCCAAGGGCCTACCCTCACCAATGCCGTCCCATGGTGCTTCTAGCCTCTCTTTTTTGACCACGCGCCCGTTTGTCCGTGTCACGGGAGTTCAATGTGTGCTGAGATATTCAATCGTATCAATATGAGGCTTTTCACTGTCTTTTTGCCAGCTGTTGTGATATGTTGACGTTTCCAGTTGCTTCAAATGTATGTCGTCCAATATTGACGGCCCCTAAAGGTTGCGGATCAGTGGTTGTTGAGAGCGCGCCTTCCTTCTCGCACACCAAACAGTCCACATTGACGACGCCTTTCTGTCGCATCCGATCTCTCTGCACGGGGGGCCTCTGGAACCACGCTGCAGCTATTTCTACGGACGACGCATACCCACGAGCACCGCACCGCCACCCACCCCCCTCAGCCAATCTCTGGAGTCTGGAACTGTCCTCAACCACCATCGGCTTTGCGCATC